CGAGAAAGGGAGGAGATGGGGGACCCCACGCATGGCCCTAAAAGGCAGAGGAGGAGAGGGAGAGCGAAGGGTCCCGGGGCACCGCCCCCCGACTCGTCGTCGTCAGACCCGTCTTCGGATGTGGTTGGCGGCGGCGACCCCGGGGGCGGGGCCAATCGAGGGGCAGTTGCGCGAACTGCCCCTCCGACGACAAGGGCGCGGGCTCGCGCGGCCCTTACACCTCCGCCGGCGGGCGGGGGTCGGAGGGGGGTTGGTTGACCCCGGATGACGGGGGCGGGGGGAGAGGGACGACTGAGGACTCAGCCGCCTCCCTGCTCTCCCCCCCCCGTACATCGGACAGGAGGTCCGAGGGGGTTACCCTCCCTCGGAAGAAGGATGGGTGACGGACGTAGTCCGCCACAAAAAGGCGGTTGGCGGAGGGGAGGGGAACCTTGGCTCCCCTCTCCCCGCAAGAGACGAGGAGTAAAAGGGGAGGGAGCTATAATCCCCCCTCCTCTCGAGGAGATTCGGGAGTGGGACATAGTCCCACTCACCGGAGGAAGCCCCCTGCGGGGGGACAAAGGTCCAAGGACCTAAGTCCACGCCCTGCAGGGGCACGGGGGAGCGAAGTGTCCGGCGGGGGCCGGCCTTCGCTCCGACCCCCAAGATTAGGGCGGTGTGTCCGGGAGGGTGGTTCCCTCAACACACCGCGGAGGGGGGGGTGACATCTATGTCACCCTCCCTCGAGATGTAGGGCGTCGTGAAAATACGACGCCCAGGGCCCGGTGCGCCCCCCCACATGCTTACGCAGTCAGGGGGGGGCGCACTCGCGGGAGTGCAAATGCGCACCCGTGAAAGGGCCCGGGTAGATAACCCATGGGGTTTTAGTAGGTAGTACGGCAAATATGCCGTGAGTCCTACATAACCCTAGCTCCCCCCCCCCGGGGACTAGGGGATGCGTAAATGCATTTCCCCATGTAAAAAAAAAAAAAAGGTATGCGATAGCTCGAAAGCGATAATGTATGTTTAAAAATAAATTTTTATGCATAGTGTCGGAGAATAAACTCTACTACTACCTGAGAAAATTTGTCCTCCTCAAAAGATCTCGAACTTTCTGGAATATTCGAGAATATTTTAGAAGATGGCACGCGGACGGGTGGCCGGAGAGAGAAAAGGCCGTGAATATTCTAAAATGTGGGTGGGTGGCGCGGTCCGCTCACGAACCGCTGCGAACAGGGAGGGGGAAAGGCCGCGAACGCGTCGAAAAGCGGAGGGGGGAGAATCACAGGATCGATCAAATGATCAATTATATGTCGATATAAATTATGTTAATAAAAAATATGTAGAAAGATATATCGGTAGAAACAGATCGCAGGGTTGATAAAAATTACCAATTATGTTGGTAAAGAAAATTAAATATGTCGGTAATACATAAATATGTCGGCAAAAATACTAGTATTAAATAAATATATCGGTAAAAATAACGGTAATAAATAAATATGTTAAAAAATATGGTGAAAACTATAAAAAAGCCATAAAAATTATGGTTTTTTACGTTTATCTCAGTAAAATCACGAAAAATCATGATAAATGTTTTATAAGGGAAGTTGCGGAACTGTCCCCCCCCCCCGATTTTGATGCGCTTTGGATATGTTGTAGACCATCAAAAAGTAGTCGACACGTATTTTTTTTTATCGGCCATATATTGAGTTAAGAGGTTGAAACAGCCTCTTGAAAAAAATGACTTTTCCATTTTTATTTAATATTTCCTAAAATATAAGATATATGAAAAAATGTTTCCTACAAAAGTTGTA